TTGCTCCTGCTTGGGTGAGCTGGGCTCAGACAAGAGTCTGAAGCCTGGTGACTCTTTCTTTCTGTGGGATGTTACTGCTCCCTCTGTACTTGGCTCCAGGAAGACAAGGGGCATTATTAAATTATTTGACAATGGTAAAGTAAACTAAGACAGCATTAGCGCCACACAGTTTTAAATAGGATTTGCTGCCTGAGATTATTCTTGCCTCTTTGGATAGAAAGCACCTGCTCCTGAAATAAACCTGAGAACTGATTTAATATTTGATTTTGGTTTGAAGACAGCAACAGGGCCTTATTGTCAGGCATCAACAGGGCCTTAATGTTAAAGGTTAACTGATCATGTTTATGGAACACTTGGAGCTTTATTCATGGTAAATACATATTTAAAGACAACCTGGGGCCAACAATGCACTGGGGCATATACAATATTAATAAGGCCAGTCTCTCTTATTATAACTTTAGTTATTATGAATAGTGACTGAATCTGTAAATCTCCATTCAGAAAACGCAATCTTCTGAATGACTTCAGATCTTTCATTTAAAAAGTCCACAAAACCGAAGGCCAACCAACACTCACTTTGAACAAGCACCTATGAGTTGGGGAGATGGCTCAGTGGTTAAAGCACTTGCCCAGAATGGAATTTGGGTCTCTAGAACTCACACAGATGCTGAGTGGGTGTGGCAGAGCATCTGGAAATTCTAGCTTCACGAAGCAGAGATAGAGGATGCCCTGAGGAGGCTGACATGAGGGATAAATTGCACATGTGAGCTATGGGTCTGACGACGATGATGATAGATCCATTTATTTCATGTGTATGAATTCATGTTTTGCCTGCTGGAGATCAGAAGATAGTATCAGATCCCTGGAGAGGCTGTGAGCCACTATGTGGGTGCTGAAAACTGAATCTAAGACCCTGTAAGAGCAACAGGTGCTCTCAATTGTTGAGCTATCTCTCTAGAGCCCAAATTATTACTTTTTAACTAAAATGAAAACAAACTGCTCTAATTTATGAGAAAAAGGAAGAAAATGATTCACTTCAGGTAAAGACCAAGCTAGACCACACGCTGTTAATGGGTAAAGTGAAATCCAAGTAGTCATTCTGTGTCTGTTTAATGCTCTGTGAGGGTCAACCACTGGCAATAACCACGTCAAGCAAACCACTCTCACGCTTTCAGGAATTTCAATGCTGGAACTTACAAGTTGTCTGTGACTTTGGTCTCTGTGGCAGTTTGAATCTAATTGGCCCCCATAATCTCACAGGAAGTGGTACTATTGAGACCTTTGTTAGAGTGGGTATGGTCTTGTTGGAGGAAGTATGTCACTGTGGAGACCAGGCTTTGAGGTTTCCTATGCTCAGGATACTGCCCAGTGTCTCAGTTGACTTCCTATTGCCTGCAAGATATACAACTCTCAGCTGTTTCTCCAGCACCAGGTCTGCCTGCATGCCGCCATGCTTCCCACCATGGTAATGGACTGAACCTCTGAAACTGTCAGCTAGCCACCCAATTAAATATCTTCCTTTACACGAGTTGTTGTGGTCATGGTGTCTCTTCATAGCAATAGAAATCCTAACTAAGACAGACTCATTACTTAACCTGGTTCCCCGGATCTAGATTCCCTTGACTTTTAAAAAGTGGTAGCGCCATCTTTCAGGATCCATAGACTCAAGTATTTGACATAGGTTATCTGCTGCTATTCAGCATAATCTTGGAAGAAAAAAACATACAGGTCCTGGTATCTAAGTGTCCTTATAGAAAGGAACCATCAACCTAAATATACGTTCTTTTAAAATATTTTACTAAGTCCTTGAGAATTTCATACAGTGCATTTTTATGATATTCATCTTCAATTCCTCCTTATATCTCCTTGCCAGCTTCCTAACTCCCTGGCTCCATGACTCTTCTTCTGATACAGGAATCCATTGACTCCAGTTAGTGTGGTCCATATAGTCTTGGTTTGGGCCACCCACTGGACTGTGATCAACCAATCTACCAAGAACCACACCTCAAAGAAAATTGTCTCTCTCTCCATCCTCTGGAAGCCATCTACCATTCATAGCTCCTCAGTCAGGGGTGGGAGCTCATGAAACACTTCCTTCTCCGAGCTAAAATGTTGACTCTCTTGGTCCTGTGCAGGCAATCACAGCTGCAAGCTCACAAGCGTGGTGATTCTCTGACACTCAGAAAACAGTGCCTGGCTCTGGTCCTCCTCAACCTCTGGTTCTTGCAGTCTTCCTGCCCCTTCTCCACGATGGCCCCCAAACCTTGGTGAGGAGGCGACACTCTATTCTGTTCCCTCCTGCCATTTACATCTCTATTTCCCTCCTTGTCTCCTCCTCTTCAGGGGTTATGACCTCATGCTAAACACTGTCTTCTTCCTAGAGCGGTCCATAAAACTGAAAGTGACTGAGGAAAGAATAATTAAAGCCATCATCAGTCTGTGAGAAGAGATTGGGGTGGTTTTTCTCCTGGATGGAATTATCCCGTGTGTCTGGGGAAGGATAAAGGAGCTCTTAGTGGGGAGGAGAGGGCAGAGAATGCATTTCACAATTTTGCTTAAGTGAGCTCTGTCAGTCAACCATTTATGAGGTATTAAAACCCTTCAGAGAAGAAACTGAAGAAAATGGTTAAGTAGCTGGGGCAGGAGTGGAGGGAAGGTTGGGACACCACACACCCTCAGGTACACCCTGAACTTAGGAAATCATTATCTACACAGAAATTTAATCATTAAACATCCCTCAGCCCTTACACTGTTGCCAGTCCTAGTGTGGCTTTTACATGGGTTGTTCATAGGACTTTGACATTCAAGAGTTGACTTTTCCCTTAAAAAAATGCACTGGGTTAATTTGAAACATGATCTGGTTCTCCGAGTTGATTTGTTTCTTAACTACTAAATCTATTACAAAACATTCCAACTTGGAGAGAGGCAGAGTTGCCAGTGAATACTGTTGCTGGCCTTCTGTGTATACAGTTGCCAGCCTTCCGTGTATACAGTTGCCTTCACAAAACCTGCAGCTTCCTGCACAGTTCGAAGTCCTAGGAATCACTGGAACCTGACCGAGGCAAACACTGGGTTTTCTCAGACAAGCTCTGAAATTTGGTTCTTCTTTTCCAAAGAAGAAAAGTCATTAAATCCAGCACGATGCTTTGATTAAAGAGTACATTCTCAAGACTTTTATTAAAAACAAAGCAATAATAAATGACAAGAAGAACCAGGGAAGGATGGGGGCTAAAGTTACAAACCACCCACGGTCATAATAAAATGTCTGGGACTCTACCAACTTGGCATGCTTATAAAATACCAAATATATCACTAGAACTGGGCGGGGTGGATCATGCCTATAGTCCCAGCACTTGGAATGCTGAGGCAAGAGGAATGTTAGCAACTGAATATTGCCTAGGGTACATAGTGAGCTGCAGACCAGCCTGAGCTACAATGTGAGACCCTATCTTTTAAAAAAAAAGTTCAAAACACTCATAAGGGAAGAGGAATAAAGTTGGGCTCAATCATGGATACATTTGTCCATCAAAATGTTTTCTGAATGTCTATTGTGTATTAGGCTTTGAAACAAAATACGAAACAATGTGGACAAGATCCCTGCTCCTAAAGATAGTGGAGGGAACTGAGCTGTGGGCAGGCAAGCACAGGGTATGAGAAACATCAGAAGGGGGGTGGGAGGAAGTGGGGGATGGGGTAGAGGAAGAAAACAGGTTCAGGGGGGAAAAGTGATGCCTAACATCTCAAAGAGTGGGACCAGAACTTTGGAATGCCATAATAATATTCCATTTACATTTTAATAAATAAAGCTTGACTGAGTTCAGAGAGTAAAACAGCCACACTGGCCAGCCTTACAGACCAGGTCACAGTAACACACAACTTTAATCCTAGTAGCCATACTAGCTTGCCATAGAAACCAGGCAGTAGTGACGCACGCCTTTAATCCCAGAACTAGAGAGGAATATAAAATGGGAGGAGATGGGTCTCATTCTGAGATTCCTAGAGGCAGGATCACCATTTCGGACCTAGGTCAAGGTGAGAGCCATTGACTGGCTGCTTTGCTTTTCTGACCTTCAGGCTGAACCCCAATTTCTCTCTCTGGTTTTTATTAATCATGAGTGAGAAAGAATGCTACACACCTGAGTTCCTGGTTCCATTGGTGCCACCCTGCAACCCTGAGTGATTTCTGCTATCGCTTTCTCTGTTTCATCAATAATGATACTGTTGAATGAGCATTGATGAAATAAATGCGTGTCACAGAGCTGGCAATTTGTAGCAAATGGCAAGTACCCAATAAATGTTAGCTAAAGTGGTATTAATGGGGACAGCAGGCCAAGAAAAGCCAGCTAAAGGGAGGAGAGGAAGGAGGTATGTGTCCAGAAAGGTGGACCTGTGAATGAAAGAACTGAGTCTGAGCCAAGTGATGGGGGCGTGCTCTGAGGAAGAGATGCAAAGATGAAACTAAAGCTGGAAAAGCAAGCAGGGTCCAGCTCCATGGAAGCCCTCCAGAACTCTGCTGGGAGGAGGATCACATTGTGTTAACCACCTTGGCCTTGGCATGAAGATGCAATGGGGAGTGAAGTGATGGGGGGGCAGGAATACCAATGATGAGATTTTTTTAAACACGACTCCTTGGCTGCTGTAGGTTTTCACACACAAAAGTGTATCTCAATCCAGAAAGGATCCTGGGGTCGTCATTAGCTTGTCCGTTGAGCCTTTCATTGACTGATGGAGTCACTCATTCATTCAATAAGCATCTACACCTGAAGGTTAGCTTTTCTTCCACTCATCCACCCACCCATCCATCCACATATTCATCCATCCACCTACCCACCCATCCACCCACCCACACATCAATCCATCCACCACCCACCCACACACACATTCATCCACCCACCCACCCACACATTCATCCACACACCCATCCATCCACACATCCACACACCCATCCACCCACCCACACACCCACCCACACATCCATCTACACACCCACCCATCCGAGTTCTTCAGCACTTCCTTCATTCACCCACCCATTCACCAAGCATCCATACCTGCCAAGGTGACAACGGCTGTGAGGGATATTAGCAAGCATTGCCCTGCATGGCCCTACTCTCCAAAGCATCTTGCCCAGCCACGACTGCACATGTCCTATCAAAGTCAGGAAGCTCCTCGCTCTAGTGACCCAGATGACTTACAGGAGCAAAGGTGCTTTGTAGGGAGGTCAGATGGCAGTGCGACAGAACAGATTAAGATGAAAGCCAAAGCAGGAGGGTGGCTTTGCCTTCATCCTGGGAAACAGAAGCACCACTAACGACATCAGTGAGCAGCTGACCGCGTCCTAGTCATGAAACATCCAGTAACAGTCAACATTTGCTAAACAGCTTATCTTTGGATCTCAGGTGAGTCTACAGATTCATCACGGCATTATGGAATCTTTATACCTATCCTAGAGTGGGAAGAATGAGTCAAGGGCGTGTTCCCAGAGACATAGAATTAATGCGATAGAGCATCTTCATCTCTACAGCATGTGATCTCTGTGGCCAGGGCTCTAGATCAACAGCAGAATGCCTACCTACTATGGGCAAGGTCCTGGCTTCAGCGCCCTACACAGAAAAAGAAAACACAAGGCTTGACCTCTGGCCAGTGTGGGCCACCAAGCTGACTGGAGAATGTAATCTAATTCTGACATCTAAAATATCAAAATCTCTCCAGGGCTAACGAAGATCAATGCTAGCTCTTATAGTAGAAAAACCAAACTTGGAAAGCTAATTACACGAACAATATATTATCTGTGTTACCAAGAGATGCATCCTTACAGAAGTCAAATCAAATGAATATGGTGAGATGAAATGAAGACGCTCATCAAATGAGTACCATTTTGACACTTTTTGAAGTCGATTTTACTGTACCATATGGCAAGAATGTATCAGGAATGTTTCAGGCTGTACCATATGGCAAGAATGTATTAGTAGTTATCCACTGTGGCTACACTCATATTAGGTTAAAGCCTAATCTGGGAGTGGGAGCCCTTTGCACAGGCCTGTCTGGAAAGGTGTAACCATAGAAAAGTGAACAGCCTAAGAGAAGGAGGCTGGTTTTCCAGTAAGCCAGAGTGTGGGAAGAAACGTTGATTACCTAAATGACAAACAGGTGGACTAGATCATACTCAGACTCTGTACGGTTTCACCAGGCAAGCAGAGCAAGTGTGGAATAAGTATATTTAAGTCATGAGCCCTAGGAACTATTTCCAAATTGACAGAAAGAAGGTAAAACAATCCCTCTGGATCGAAAGAAACCACCTGCGCCTTGTTAGCTGCTGGATGCCAAGAGTGAGGGGGAACCCTGAGCCTGGGCTCTTCCCGGACAGTGGTAAGATCCCAGGCCAGACGGCATTTTAAAATCTAATCCCGCTCTATGTGCCTCTCCCGCCACTAACCTACATTATTTTCAAAGCAGCCACAGCCATTTCCACAAGATACGATCGTTTATAGGCACTAACCCCCTCCCCGCCCCTCGAAGAATACAGCCTTCTTAACTGCTATGAGAGAGAGAGAGACAGAGAGAGAGAGAGAGAGAGAGAGAGAGAGAGAGAGAGAGAGAGAGAGAGAGAGAGAGAGAACACTAGTAAAAAAACTACCACTGCTAAGGAAACACACACGCCCAACACCCCGCACCGAGCACAGCTTTTCACACACACATTTAAACACAGCTCACTAACAAAACCTTAAACACATTCGCTTGCCAGGCGCGTTCTTCAGGACTCATTTGCCACCCTTGAAAAGTAACTCGGACGCCCCAGGTCGCTAGCCACAGAGGCTGCCTGATGTCACCTGCCCGGCCCTGCCAGGAGCTGCCTGCAGGACTTGGGGGACCCTCCCCCCGGCTTCCACCTGCCCTCTTGGAGGACCCTTCTCCGTCCCCACTGGCAAGGAAACAGAGTAGCGTTATCTTCGGCACTGGGTCATTTGCAAGACAGAAACGCTGGCGAGATGGGTCCCCAGCCCAGCCACCTGCCCGAGTCCGCGTCGCCACAGTCCAGTGGAGATCGCCTCGAAGGCTCCCCGAGAGCCAGGAGGTGTGAACAATGAACTTGTCTGGGTTGGATCTCCCACACCCAACCACACAGCCCGGGTCCCGCCGTGGGAAGTTAGGAACTGTGCCCGCGGGGTCGGTTCCACGCGCGAAAGGGCCCACGCGCGTCCGCGGGCCGCGCCCCTCGCGTCGCCTGCCCGGGAGCTGGCCCGTTACCTCCTTCCTGCGGCTGGGCGCCCCGGGGCGGGTGATGAGGGCGGTCTCCTCGCACACCACGGCCACGTCCTCCACGAACACGCAGTCGGGCAGGCTCTCGTCGGCCGGCAGCTGCACCACCTGCAGCCCCAGCTTGCTGCCCAGCACGTCCACGTAAAGCTGGTGCTGGCGCTCGGCGCGAGCGAAATCCACCTCTTCACCCTGGGAGCGTCTCAGCGCGTGGCGACACAGGGACTCGGGCAGCGCCCGCACCACGGCATGTGTGGCCCGGCCGAAGACGGCGGGGTGGCCGAGGCCGGCCATGGCTCGCACGGAGAGACGGCGGCGGGGTTTGGCGCGGCGGCCGGGTCCTCCCGAGAGCAGCGCGCTCCCAGGCTGTGAGGCGAGCCGGGCGAGCGTGCGAGCGCCCGGAGGCTCCTCTTGGCAGCCGATGAATGTGCTGCTGCGGGAGCCCGGCTCGCGCCCGGAACCCTGCCTGCGCCACTGAGCATGCCCAGAGCTCGGGGCGCCGGCCCAGCGCCCGCGCGCCTACTCCTGCGCTCCTGGCGTCTGCAGCAGCCTGGCCTGGGTCACCAGAGATGGACGTGGAGGTCGGAGACTTCCCAGCTCTGACGCTCTCCCTGGGCCTTAGGTGTGTGTATCCCACAGCAGGTGCACACCTTACGTGGTCCCCCACGGGGACCTGGAAAGTGGGCAGTGCTCTACTGGACCTGCTGGAAAGGACTTAATGGTCAGGGCACTACGTGAGAGGTGATTGTCCATAAACTTCCCCACTTTCTTCTTCACTGGGCACAGGGGACCTAGGTTCCCAGTGTGGCAGCCTGTCTCTACCCATATTGCCTTGACTTTCTCCGAATTGACCTATTGTCCCACGGGTAACTCAATATTATACAAAGATTGCATTTCTTTCCACCCACAAGAAAGAATAATCCAGGAGACAGACACACCGTTGCGTCTGTTGCAACAAGTACTAGAACCCTCTTTTCAAAAACAAACCAAACAACAACAACAAACCCAAACAAACAAAAAAAAAAACCCTGATACTTCAAGCCCACGGGGCGACTAAAACAAAGGGGAAAGTCTTTCCTCTTGTTTACCAGCAAACCGGCTTCCTAACCTATCTCCCACCCCCAAGGCTTAGGGCACAAAGGTTAGCCTGAGGCACGTTACTGTGGGCTTTAACCATCCTGTTCCAGACTTCCCAACACGCTATTGAAAGGCACTGGTTTAAACCAATAGTCACTTTAAATGCCAGGAAGAGCAGAGCTTGAGCATCACGTCACGCTGGGAATTTATAGCACCTCCTCCAAGCAGGAGCAAGCATTCCACGCAATCCCCTCAGCTACCTTAAACAACGGAGACTTCTCGGCTAGGACAGCTATCTTCTGCAAACCTCTCATCCTTCCCCCAACTCTTCCTCTAGATAAAGTTTTCTGTCAGGATCCCGAAGATGGACTTGGGGGTCTCTGAATCCCTTAAACTGCATGCTAGCCACACTGATTAAATCTCTGCTATTCACCACTATTCTTCTCTGGAGGGCTAGTGGCTGAAGGTAGCCCATGGGAACCCCCAGAGCTGGGAACTTTTGCCCTAAAACTTCGATAATATAAAACCTAGCCCTAGAATACGTCTCCCACTGCAACCAGTTCTGAAGAAAATGTGATCTAATGTGTTTGCCAGGAGTAAGGAGCAAGCATACTGTCCCTGTGATAGAAATGTGCACACTGTCACCTGCAGCTTCACAGTCAAGTTCCTTGACCTTGGGGAAGAGATGCCAACTTCCTTGCCACCTCACCCTTGCTGTGGGCACACACACTACACGGAACTCCTCATTGACCTTCCTTTTCTTTCTCTCTAGAGGCTTCCTTTGTTTTACAGTGACGCAAAGCTCCCAGTTTTTCCTCTTTCACACAACACAGTTTAAATAATCCAGGGGTATGCTCTATCTGGTCCAGGGAAGCCTGGCCACACATAATGGGGCCCAGGGCAGCCTGGCCACACATGGGGCTCAGACCGCACAGCTGCCAGGACAGGCAGAGTTGGGTTCCAGGAAAAACCATAAACTGACGTCACTCAGGGAGGGCCAACACCTAAAGAAAGTACCTCACATTCCAACCATTAGATAAGATTAGATAAGAACACCAGCCGTCCCTGAACTGGGACTCACCAATTCCCCATTTGCCAAGACCCCTAGACAAATGTCAGTGAATCAGGGTCCAAAACCCTGGCAATCCCCTCACCCCAACCTCTACAATGACAAAAACCCTATCCCAAGTGGGCTTGGCAATCTCTGCTGTCATCAGCTGTGCCGGACAGAAAATTCAAGTTTAGGCTTGAATAAAGGCTCATCGCTTTTTACATATAAGTGTAGTCTCCGTCGTGGTTTTTGGGGGGACCCAGCGATCTGGGCATAACAGCACCTCTAAAATAATCTTTCAAAAGACGGCATTCACGTACTTGAAGGCAAGTCTGACCTTTCTGCCATCTATCCTGACCCCAGCACTCTTAAAGCCTGACCTAGCAGAAAGCAGCTGCTGATTTGGTTCCAGAGTCCTTTAACATCCTAGTCGTCTTCCTTTTGGTGAATATCACCATGCCCTTATCCCATCCAAGGCATGGTATGCAGATGTGAGAGAATCCTTCCTCTGTCTAACTGACAGGCATTCAGGGACCATCTTCAAAATCAAGGGTGCACCTTTAACAGACGTCTATGGACTTCTACCCTTGGACCAGGTGTGGTGCTTTGCACCCGCAATCCAAGTGCAAACACCGGGGCCAGGGCCCAGGCTTCTGTGCCCACTGCATTCATTTTTCCAGCGGTCTAGTGTCAAGGTCTGTATTCTAGCCCTCTTGCTAGAACTCTGATCCTAACTTTTAGGAAGTCTGGATACCTAGGAACAAGTTCACCTGGGCTGTCCTACAGTGTTGTCTCAGCTGAACCCAGAGAGGATGGGGTGTCCCTTTTCTTCCCGTCCCCCGAGGATGACGTACATTTACAGTTGATAGAGCCTTCATTCTGAAATGAGAGGCCTTCAGTGAAGGGCAGCTGTGATTAGAAGCAAGGTCTCGAAGACCTTCTAGATTCTTCTAAATCAAAACTCTCAAGAAGCCCAGTCTGCCCTATTAGCACTAGCTTAAAAATCAGAAATCACGCAATAATTTTTAGGTGGAAGATTCCCACCAGTCTTTGGAAGGTAAAAGTTCACCCATGTGCCTGGCTTACTCAGGTTAAAAGAGAAGGTTTTTGTTTCTCCTCCTGGACTTTACTCAATAGAAAGGCTGTATCTACCTCCAGCTGGCCGTCACCCAGCCACCAATATTCGTGTCTGTGCCTCACTGGAGACTCAACACTTTTCTGTCACTCGGTGTCCTCAGCCCAGCTGTGAACAGGGACCTGTGTGTCACTCAGGGTTCGTGTTAGCCTGGCACGTGATCAAAACGGGTAAGCCTCCCCTATAAATAGGTGCTGTCCATGTCTTCCATACTGAAATTGCATAGCTTGTTTTTGGCAAATCTAATTTTGTAGTTTATCCTCATTTGATGTCATCTGCCTCTTTCCCACTTGTCTGAGTTTGGTTCTGTCATCTTGTGCATTATTTATTACTTCTCGTCTATGCCATCTGAAATTTGATAACCGTGCCTTCTGTCTCCTCTAAGCACTTGTCAAGAAACGTTAGAATGTGCATACTGCTGAGAAGAGTAAGAAAAACACCCCAGATTCTGTAAACGATTGTTTACGTGCTTCCTGCTTCAGCGGTGGAAGGCTGTTCTCAGGAACATGGACTTCATGGAAGCTAATCCTTCTACGAGTTCATTTTCTTCGTGCATATTTACCAAAAACTCCGGAGGCACAGCAACAGCACACCCTACACTTCAGGGCGAAGCAAATAGCATCAGATGATCTCTGACCTTGAAACGCTCAGGATCTTCCCAGGAAAAAACACCCAAGCTCTGCAGAACTGGAACTACGATAAGCGTGGGGAGGCAAGTGACACAGCACTCTAGGAGGCTGGGGGAAGAGCTGTCGCTGTGGCTGGCAGCGGTAGAAGAAGGCTGCCGACGTGATTGGGCTTGGTTTAGGAATGGGGTAATATTTTAGGATGTGAGTTATTAAAGAGGGGAAGAGAATTCTAAGGAAAGCATTACAAGAGACTAGAGACTCGTCCAAGAGGACAAAGGGTAGATCAACCCAATGCTACTGAAATAACTCTGGCTGCTGGAACAACGACAGCAGAACCACCCCATAATGATGTCACAAAGTGGCAAACGTATCTCTGGACCTCTCAGCCTAGTATTGGGGTTTCCTTGTCCTGAAGTTCTTTTTCCAAGCAGCCTCAAGGATCTATCTTTTATTTTATTCCCCAGGTCCATGAGGAAGAACACAGGGTGCCGTGTGTAAAAGGTATGGCGAGTCAGGCCTAGAAGGACACACAGTCATCTGGCTGCATTCCTCTGGTTAACATTCATTCATCCAGTTGTAACAAACATGCAACAGCCTAGGAAATGTATTTTGTGTGAGTTCAGAAAGAAACAAAAGGCCGGGGAAACCGCTAGCTAATGTTGGTTTCTAGTACAGTGGAGAGAATAGGAAACAGGCAGGCTAAGTTTTCCCGTCAATGAACAGCAAAGAGACGTGTTAGAGAACGCAAGAGATAGGTCCTGGTGCTAGACTACGTGGGCGAAAGTGAGGAGTCGCTTTCCTTCCTGCATGATCTTAGACATAGCAGCACTTTGCCTTAGCTCTATCCTCATTTATAAAATGGAAAATAGCGACCCCATTATCAGAAGGTCACTTTCAAAGTATTATTAAGCGAGGAGCTTTAAAAGTATTTAAAATAGTACCTGCAGGCCATCAGACATTCAGTAACTATAATCCATTAACACGGTGTGTGTTGAAGTATGCACACACACAGGTGCATGTGAGCATGTGGGGCAGGGGTTAGCCCTGGGTATCATCCACTAGGCACAGTCCTTCATGTTTGTTGAGCCAGGAA